GCATTCAGGTCTCAAAGTTCTATCAACGGAGGGTCGTGCATTCTGCAGCAAGGATGTCAGCTATTACAGGCTCCAAAAAGGAATCTTTTAAACCATATGGATGCAAGTCATATGTTTCAACTTCATTTCCAATCATAACTACTGGCTTATTAAATGACACAACTGTACTGTATGAGTTATCCAGCACCAGTTATAGGCCTGTAGTCACCTATGGGAAAAATCTTGTTGCTGCAAGAAGGTGCCACAGGATATGTGAACCTATAATGTGCCTTTGCTATCTCTGGACCAGCTGTTCCCATTAAAGCATTACTATGAAGGTGGAGAGAGAAATAATTTGCTCCAAAAGTGTTATGAATTGTTAAGTAGTAGAACTTGCCTCCATTTTCATGCTGTCTTAAGTTCAGTGAAAGATGCTGCCTCTGAGTGCTCATTAGAAGACCACCTTAGAAAACCTGAATATTGTGAGTATCATATGTTCCTCTGTTCAGAGAAAGTGTTCTGTAGTTAAGTAGCTGCTTATCTGTAACACTTTTCATTACAGGGACCAAAGGGTGACCAAGGCAGCCCAGGTGTTAAAGTAAGTACTCTTCTGGATTTAGAGGAAGAACATCCTTTTTATAAAAAAAGGTGATAGGATGAGGAAAAAGCTTAGCCATCATTCTAACACATGGAGTATCATTAAACCAGTCCTGGCACATGTCCTGTTCAGCATTGATTCAAATACTGAGGGGAGGAGGAACAGTGGGGTAGGGATGGCCATTTTGTTACTTGACTTATTCTGGATATAAAAGACTAGGCTCTCATGGAGCTGATTTAACCCGGCTGAGGTTCTGGGCTATGTGCCTCTGAGCTGCTCTGTCATGCTGTTAGGAAGCAATTCTTTCAGATTGTTTTGTCTCTGTACCTGTAAGCCAAGGTGCATGGCACCATGGGTTCAAGTAGGGTGGAACAGGGAGGCTTTAAGAATAGTTGCTTTTTAAAACACGCTGACAAAAAGTCGCACTGAATTATTTTTCTCTGTCAGGGTGAACGAGGTCAAGATGGAGTTGGACTGCCAGGTCCCCCCGGGCCCCCAGGACCCCCAGGAGAGATTGTTTATGCCTCGAATGTAAGTGTGTTCCCTTCCCTGTCTGGCACCTCTTTGTGCAGTCTAGCACCAACACATTGTCTTTTGAGCACGAGCCATTATCAGTCTCCTGCAGGCTACTTTGGGAAAGTTGGCTCAGTCCTGACTCCTTGTTTGAGGAGTGACTTTCATTCTGAACCAGCTCAAGGAAATTACTGCTTCCTTATTTTGACTAATGTGGCTGTATGCTCTAAATCTAAAAGGAGTTAAAAAGCCTTGAGTCACTGCTGCCCAGGCCTGTGGGCTTTGCTAATACCCTGAGCCTGCAGACATTCTTGTGGATAAATATACTCACACCTGAATAAAATTGTGCCTGTATGTAACTGAGGGCAGGATCAGGGTAAGCTTTAGTACTAGTATTAACAGAGGATGCACATACTTAATATCAAATTAAAGATGAAGTTTTTGGAGTTGGTCACCCTGCAAATGCTCACCTACTGAGCTTCCCCTTCTGAGGTTATCAGGGCTACTCGTGTCCACAGTGAAGTGAGCTACTGAGCCTGGATAAGCCCAGGAGCATGCAAGAAGCCTTCCCTGTGGTCAGCTGGGCTCCATGGGAGTGCAGGGTTCTGCCTATCTGGATCCAGCCACAAGAACGGGCTGGGGGAATAGAAGCTGCTGCTGCCTCTCAGAATAGGGTGGACTAATGTTACCTCAACTTGAAAACTGGATGAGGGGCCATGGAGCAGGTGAAGAGGTTCCATAACAGGTGGAAAGATTTAAAAAGAGAGGAGAGGGATGAAGATAAAACACCCAGACCTTGGAGATAGGCAGTAAACAGCTGGCTGTCCAGAACAAAACTAGGTCCATGTAGCACACTAGGAAATCAGCATGAAGGTCCCAGCTGTGTAAGCATTTTCACATGGAAGCAATTTTAGGCCTAATGCTGTTGTTGTGCATGTACAGTTACTCAGGGGTCTAAACACCTGTAGGATCTGATTCTAAAAATAATGAAAAATAGGCATCAGAAGAAGTTTAAAACTAAAAATGCTAGCAGAACAAAATTAAAATCTAGTAAAAAGGTGGCTGTTAAGCTGAAGTTAGTAATAGGCAAAGGCATTTAAAAAATAACTGCTGAAGGTGATCTGAACGTCTCTGAAACCAGGTTGCCTGCCTGGTTATCTGTTGTTTCTTTGCCTTTTTAACTGAAACAGTGTGCATGAAGCAATATTCCCAACAGAAGCTTGCTATGGAAATCATAAATTAAAGTTACGTCTATGGAAAAAGGAACATGTCTATTGGTGGGAAGGGGCAAAAATCAATAGAAATCTGAAATGCTACCTTGGGTTCTACTGAGGCAGCTTGAGGGAGGGGAAGAGTTTCAACCCCTTTTCTGCAAGCTTAGGGACTGCTTCAACATCCATTTAAGTTTGTGGGATGTATCTTATTGATTCAGGCAAGCTCTGGATCAGACCCATTGACTTCATTTTGGGCTTTACCTTGGGAAACCAATGGGAGAAAGTAAGGATCAGAGTTTTCAATGTGTATTTTGGGTTTTTTTGTTTTGTTTTTTTAGAAAACATTGGCTGTTTTGCCAGGCCCAGAGGTATGTGACCCTTACCTTTCCCTTGCTGGTCTGTGAGAGTGACCTCATTGTCCCTCTTTCTTATTGACTGGTTTTAAACTTAGTCCATTTTCCAAAAAAGAGGTAGTTTTCTGAGCTGTGTCGTTGTTGTTCCTTCCCTCAGGGCAGACCAGGCCATGCTGGGTTCCCGGTGAGTCACTTTTTGGGGTTTTATTTGGTGGAGCCATGGTAGGTAATGTTAAAGCTGCCAGAATCACATGTGATGAGTCCATAACCATAGTGAACTTTTTAAACCAGCACTCCACGTATGAACATCCACAGATCCGGCTGTGATCGGAACCTCGGCCTGGTTCCGAATATTGTGGTTTAAGTGCCCCCCTAAACCAGATCCCCAGCTGATGTACCCCCATATCACTCCACAATAGGGTCACATTCTCAGCTGGTATAAACTGGTAAAACTTCACTGGAGTTAGTGGAAACAGGGAGGAAAGGGGAGACTGGAGCAGTGTTTGAGTCTCAGCCCTCTGGTTAGGGCTTAGCTCCCACTTGTGTGAAGGAATGCCTTTGATGTATGCCATTGGTTTGCATTTGCAGCCACCCTGATTTTCTGTGGCCAAATACGGGGAGTATTTGGTAGGGATGCTGGTATCATAATGCACCTTTTTCACGGTTATTCCTCTGTCCGTCTGTCTGTAGGGCCCAGTGGGACCTAAAGGAGAGGCAGGATCCCCAGGGCTCCAAGGCTTTCCAGGGATGAAGGTAGGTTGGCCTGTTCATGCTGGTTTCCCCATGTCAGGCTGCAGTGTTCTGCCTCTGCATTTTGATTCATGGGAACATCATTCCCTGTTACTTCAAAGTTGCTGTTCTCAGGTTTGGGTTTCCCATCCCATCGTCCTGTTGATTTTTATGCTCCCAGCTCCCAGTCAGAGGCACTAAATTCAGCCCTTTCATAGCTCACATTCTGCAACTGCTGCAGTCCAGAGATAACCCACACAGTTGGACACAAATGAATATGGTGCTTTTATACTTAGTTTTTTAACTCATCGAAGTTAAGATTATCTGAGAAACTGAAGATGTAAAGTAAGATCATCTGGTGGCTCACCCTCCAATAAATGCGTTAGCATCGCTCCCTACTGTGCAGGGGATCAGTCTGGTTTTAGATATCTCTAGTGATGGATCTTTCCCTCCTTCAGTTTGGAAGCCACAGTATGGTCCAGGGCTAAGTTATAACTTTCATTAGCACCCATGTGAAGCAAAGCTATGAAGGTCAGTGATGCTTAGTGGTCTGCCCAAAGTGCACAGTGTGGAGGTGTTCTTTGATTTCCTGTGTTGGCAAGGCACAGAGCTGATGGAGAAGGGGAAGAAAAGAATCATAAAAAAGTAGGACTGGAAGGGACCTCAGGAGGTCATCTAGTCCAGCCCCCTGCTCTCAGGGCAGGTACATCCCTATCCAAAGCATCCCATACAAGTCCTTTTCTAAATGATTCCTAAAATTCCACAGACAGCCCTGTCACACAGCTACAAGACACATAGCCCAAGGACACAAGGCAAAGCAGGGGGGTGATGGCATTGTCAACATTTTACCACTGCAGGGTTGTTAAATACACTCAAGATTCAAGGAACAGGACTAAAGCCCCTGGCTACTTGTAAATTATACCTCTCTAAATCAGTCTGTTCTTGGGACAATGTGGCTGTACACTGTGTCATACAACACTGTGTGAACAGATACAGTTTAGCCCTCTGTGGGTCTAGCTGGATTGGATTTCTCTTTCAAGAGACTCCATGCAAAGTATTAATTCTGAGTTGCAGCTGTCCCTGACTTGTTGCTGTGCCATAGGAGAGCTCTGCAAAGTCTTTTACTGTTTGGTGTGGAGGGGGTTGCCGTCAGTTTGATTCCTCCTTGTTTTTGTTTTCTACTGCTAGGGTGAGAAAGGAGAGCCTGGAGTGATCATTGGCCCAGATGGGACAGTCACAGCCCTTGACACAAAAGGAGAAAAGGTCCATACATTTATTTGAGCTTTAAGTGGGAATGATTTGGACATTTACCTGGCTCTTTAACACTGTGCAAGCTGGAGGATGTCCTGGTGCACAGCCCCAGCCAAGTAGAGCACCACTTCCAGGAGAAGCAGGAAT